TTGGTTTCAGGAACGTTCTTCCACCTGGACTAAGAGCCAGCTCTCGGTGTTGCCCATTCAGCGGCAACCAAGCCTTGCAGCAGTCGGTCAGTAAGCCCTCGACGGTCGGATGCGGGGGAGCACACGTGTGTTTTCGCTTGCGAAACGCTGAGCGGGGACTGCCCAGTGCTGGCTGAGCTTGTCCGCGTAAGGTTTGGTGGTTGTCAGGGTGTCTCTGGGAGCCGGCTGTGTCCCGGAGCCGGTGTTTTTGCCCGAGGGGTGCGTGGCTAATGGCATGGTGCAGCTGGGGACTTCGGCGGCAGCTGAAGCAGTGGCCTACCTTTGACCAGCCTTCTTTCTTTCCTTCTTCCTGCAACAGCTTCTGTCTTTTTTTTTTTTTTTTTTTTTTTTTTTTTTTTTTTGCTTAGTCCAGTCTACCCTTGGTTGGTTTAGTGTGGGCTTGGTAGTGTAGGTTAATGGTTGGACTGGATGATTTTAAAGGTCTTTTCCAACCTAAACGATTCTATGATTCTATGATTTACTAGGTATTCTATGATTCTGTGATTTAGTAGGTAAGAGATGATACTTTCTCATGCTAAGCAAGTTTGAATAGGAAAAGGGTGAAAATCCTGGGAGGCTTTCTAAGCAAGTTTGTCCAAAGGCTGTCTTGTTTCCCCAGTCATCCAGCTGTGACCACGCCAGCTTACCTTTTGCTTTCCGTGCGCTCCCACGGTGGAAAATGAGACTTCAGGTGCAGTGTGTTACAGCCCTTTGCGAAGGCTATGTTAGCTCAGGCAGAGGAGGGGAATACTTGGGCTTTTCAAGAAGTTCAGGTTTTTGGGGCTGTAAAAGAGAAGCTTCTAGTGGCTATAACTAGGTTGTACTTCCTTCTGAGAGAGAGATGGTGAATTGCAGGAAAACTAGAAAAAAAAAATAGGACCAGACTGTTCTTCGTGTTTCTTTTTTGGAAGTGTACTAAAGAAAACCGATACTTTACAGTACAGTTTTCCTGCCTCTTTCAGGATGCTCCCAGGCCTGTTTGTGTACATGTGCCCTGACTTGCCGGTAGCCTTTTGATAGCCTCTCTTGCTGGAGCGCAGTGGAGCTGTCTGAGCGTCGCTTTGCTTGGGATTTCCCTTCAAAGCATCACTCATCATCGAAATCCTGCTTTGTGCTGTTTGGCTACATAGGTGATCGTGTTCCTCCATGAAACACGTTAACAATGTCTTTCATGACATTGATTTGACAGGAATAGCTTTTAATTTATCTATGCCTCATTCGTTCCTGTGTGAAATTTGTCTTTACTGACAGTATATGCTGTTTATGTTTTTGACTCGTAGATGCCTGAAAGTTGACTAATGAATTCTTAGCTATATCTCTTGATTTTTTTGTAGTAAATTTATCTGCAGGGAAGCCCAGAAAAATCTTTCAGCTTTATTACCATGCTTATTCACTGCAGCACTATTGCTCTCTGGGATTTTGGTAGGGATCAGACGCTCGTCATAGCAATGTTCTCCTGAAACTTCATTTTGGTGTATGAGCACCCTGAAAGAGAGAGCAAGCAGTGCATGTGGATAATAGAGATTATTTTGTATTGAGCAATTATTCAGATTGAAATTAATCGTTTATTGCTATAATATGTGGGAGTAAATTAAATCACAGTTGAGTATCGGTAAGTTAATAAAGGAGAAAAGTACTTGTTCTTTAAAGGCAGAATGTTGCTGTGAGGTCTGTGCAGCTCTGAGGACTCTGTTGTGTGGGGTGAACTTACCACGTAGTTGAGACAAGCTGGAAACTAGGAGGGAAGTCATTCCATGTGGGTGACAAATAACGCAGTGTGCCCAAGCTCTTTAAGCTTTTGATGATGGTAGAAACTGAACTATGGTCCTCTCAGTCTGAGCTCTGTGCCATCAGTTTGCTACTTTTTTGGTTTTTGCTTTTAAGGTATATTTTGAGCACTGCAGGATTCTTGTTGGATGGTTTGGATCCTTAAAGTCAAACTGCAAGACTGTAGTATAGAAAGAATGCATCATAGAATCATAGAATCGTTTAGGTTGGAAAAGACCTTTAAGATCATCCAGTCCAACCATTAACCTACACTACCAAGTCCACCACTAAACCAATTAAGGGGAGAGTAGCAATTTCATGTTCCCTGGCTTGGTGGCTGGATTATTTTTAATGAAAGTAAAAACTAGGAATCATTAAGGTTGGAAAGGACCTCTAAGATCATCAGTCCAACCATCAACCCACCACCACCATGCCCACTAAACCATGTCCCCAAGTGCCACATCCACTCGTTTTTGGAGGTGTTCAACCTCCAGGGATGGGGACTCCCCCACCTCTCTGGGCAGCCTGTTCCAATGCTTGACCACCCTTTCCATAAAGAAATTTTTCCTAATTTCCAACCTAAACCTCCCCTGGTGCAGCTTGAGCCCATTTCCTCTCGTCCTATCGCTAACTACTTGGGAGAAGAGCCCAACACCCACCTCACTACACCCTCCTGTCGGGGAGCTGTAGAGAGCGATGAGGTCTCCCCTCAGCCTCCTCTTCTCCAGGCTGAACACCCCCAGCTCCCTCAGCCGCTCCCCACCAGCCCTGTGCTCTAGACCCATTATGAATGTCATCTACAGCATGGAACAGTTTCCACTAATTAATGTGTTGCTTTTTACCTCAAACAATTAATACTTCAAGATTTCTAAGGTTTTAGATAAATTTTCTTGCAACAAAACATAGGGTTTTTTTATCTTCAAATATAGTGATATCTTGTGTTACTTGTTGTCTGGCGCACATGTGTAGGGATTTTATGCAGCAATTGGATGGAGCAAGCGAAAAGGAGGAGGTGCTACTGAATTCCCTACCTCTGTAATTAAAACGCTTGTGTTCAAAGCCGAGACTTTTGTCGAGGCAGTTTCTAAACGTGCTGTTTTCCCATAGGCTACAGTGGTTACGGTGGCTTCCTCAAGGTCTCTTTCCTTGGGATGTCCTCACCGGTCTGGTCGGTGCGGATGACAGTGACATGAGTTACTACTCTAGAGGAAGGGCAGTAGGTGCGGGAGTCTGTCAACTTGGTGGCGGTGCTGCGTGTGGCTGAGATGGTCTAAAACATGAGAAGGACATCTTGAGTCCATGTAGGCTGAGTGGTTTGCTGTCTGCACATCTTTCTTTTCCATGGGCAAAGTGAAGAGGCATAGTGAGGAACTCATACTTTTTATTGTGCTTCAAATTGCGTAGGAAGAAATAAATCACTCAAATACCTGCTGTGTCCTGAATGTTGAAAATAGATTTTTTTTACTTGTAGTTTTCTGTTTCCTCTTTGGTTTTCAATATTGGTGGGAAAATAGACAAAGGAGGTCTGCTGGAAATACAAGGATCTAGACAAAATAAGTTAGTTATTTCTCTCTTCTCTTTCCTCACCACTTTGTGACCCAACAACATCCAAGCTCGCTCTGTTCCTGAATCTGTCTTGTACATGTCTTTTAAATTGGGCAGTATATAGCTCCCGTGTCTCTTCTTCTCTAGGTAACTTCTATTTTCCTTTGCTGTTTTTGTAGTTAGATGCCTCTGCTATGAAACTGTGGCTTTCTACTTCTTTGAGGCTTTCCCTGAGTCTGGTGCTCAGTGTTTAAAACTTGGTGCTGATACATGATCTCTGCTCTCCTGTTTCAGGGTTTTCCAGCACCAGCCCCTTCGGATTACTCCCAGGAAAAAGGTTTTGTCTCGATGCAGTTACTTTTTCTGCCTGGCTAGATCTTGTCTACATGCTGATAGTCCCATTAAATGAATAAACCAAACCTCCTTGTAGACGTGTGCTGGTACCACGGCCTCTCTTAGCACAGTAGAAGGCAGAGCATGAAATATTCAGGCTTAAGGATATTCAGACAGTTGATAAAATACACCTGGGGCTCACAGGCTGTATATCCAAAATTCCATGAATCCTTCAGGAAACCTTTCTTGTTCACACTTGGGAACCTCTGTCAGGAGTTGTGTGCACACTTAGGAAACTTGTGCCGTTGCTGACTGGGATGTGCCCAGCATTAGCTTGCATCCGTTGTACCCTCTGTTTCCTTAGAGGAGAGAATTTAAATGCCAGTGCTCGTGCACAGTGACAAAATCCTGTTATTTGAATAAACTAGAATTTTTCAGGTCTTTCTAGTTAAGGTCCAGCTTTTTGGGCTGATGGTTCTTAGTGGTTCTTAGAAGCCTTTTTCAGTTTTCTCAATGTTTGTCCTATAAACTCGGAATCAGAACTAGATATATTACATGGAACTCATTAAAGCCCAGTACAGGGGTAAACGGTTAGGCATTATTACATAATAATACTAATTTTCTCTTTCAAGAATCAGACGAATGCATTTGATCTATGTCTACACTGGGATCTCACTGTCAGTTGAGTAACTTTGAGGGGCTGATGCTTCATTTTCTGTACACACCTGAAAATTAAACTCAGCTGAAACTTTTCTGTGAAGGAAGGCTACCTGTGCAGGCACCGTGTGTCCCTGTAGGAGAAGAGAGAAACGAACCAGATGCAGTATGTGCTTGTCCTAAACTGCTAGTGCCTCTTTGCTTGGCGTTCAGGGCATATGGTGATATAAAAAAAAGTATCTGCTACCTGGGGACGATCAGCATCCCTGGGACCTACTCCTGGGTTTTGTTGAACTGAAGAGTATGTTACTCACATGCTTACCAAGTGATCTCTGCTTTGTACTACTAACCAGAAGTTATAATTCAGGCTTCCAGTCCTCAGCTATTAACTTAGCATGCCTAATGCCTGGGAGAGCGTTTGTGCTGTTCTGCGGGTTATTTTTCCTGGCCGTTGCCAGATCGTTGGAACGTCTCTGATCCAGTCTGGCAATTCCGTCTTTGAATTTCGCTGATAAAAGGCACCGAGCAGAGCTAAGGCTAATGCACATCTCTGCCAGATCCCTGTGAAAGCACCCCTACTGTAAGCAGCGATTCCCTCTTTACCATAGTGCTGCTTCCATCGTAAGCCTGCTTTCTAAGCTTGTTCTCTCTTGTTCTAGGCTGCAAGCATGTGAAAGGCATCCTCTTGTATGGACCTCCAGGCTGTGGCAAAACACTTATGGCGAGACAGATTGGCAAGATGCTGAATGCCAGAGAACCAAAGGTGGTCAATGGTCCAGAAATCCTCAATAAATATGTGGGCGAATCTGAGGCCAACATCCGCAAGCTGTTTGCTGATGCAGAAGAAGAACAAAGAAGGGTAATGCAAACATAGATAAATAGCATGGTCAGTATGAATGTGCCTAAAGAATGACCGGAAAGGAGGTTTATAATCAGAAAATTGCTGCTTGCATTAAAAGACTGAGTCACTGCTTAGCTTGTGATTATAGTTATTCCTTGCAAGTCACTGAATATTAGCGTTCTACAGATTCACACAATGTCCGTTGAAAAAATGATCTTGGAACCTGAAAAGGTGGCTGGTCTTCTAGCTAGCTGTGCTGAAGATGGACAGTTTGTTTAAATTCCATGCAGAATTATTTTAAAGTAATACAGTAGGGCCCATCCTGCTATGCTTTGTATTATGTGGTGTGTCACCCGCTCAGAAAGTCCTTAAAAGTAGGATTGCAAAAATTTTGCTCTGTTTTTTTCTTTTCTCTTTTTTTGTGGGGGAGACGCAATTAATCTATTTGGATTTTTGCTACTAAATACAGGTGGCACGTAACATAGGATGAATTTCAAATAACCTTTCATAGTTTCAGGTTTTTGGGTTAGAGTATATTACAATCCTTGAAGTGTTACAATCGATATATCATTAATTTTTCTCAGCAGAAAACTAATGGATGAGAATAGTCTCGAAACTAGAGAGTATAGATCTTTGAAACTGGAAATTGAGATAAAGATTCTGTTTTTTTCAAACTTGGTTTTTTTTTTTACTCCATTACTTTAGCTGGCTATCAAAAGCCCAGTCTTTAGTTTGAAGGTGTAAATACTTATTTCACATATGCTATGGTAATTTTTCTCTGCTGTGGATCACTTAATCTTGATGAGATTTTTCTGGTAAAATACAATTTCAGGCAAGTCACAATTAAATATAGGGAAGTCTTTTCAGAAGACATTAGCAAAGGACATTGTATCCCTTTAATTTTATTTACACCTAACAAGACTGCAGATTTTGCTAATGGCTTGAAATCATTTAATTTTCTTCTGCAAAAGATTTATTAGTAAGTTGGCTTTGCGTGGTATCTCGTACCGATGTAAACAATCTCCTTCTCTCTGGTTGTTGCCGTATAACTGAAAGCCGTGAGCTGCTTTTCCTTTGCAATAACACACCTGTTAAAATAGACTTTATATTGGCTGGAGGGGATGGCCCTGATGACAAGTTGCGAGATTACAAAGGTCTCGAAAAGGTTGGTATTGTAATGACTTGTGTCTGGGGCAGATTGCCAGTGACAGCACATTTACCCAGTGTTAACATGGTCTCCACTGTCCACAAAAGATATTTTAGAGGTGGAATTTGAAAGGAAAAAGCTTCATAAGACGATCACAAAAAGTATCCTGTTCTCTTACCAGCTGCAACTGCTTCACCTTTGAGTGAACCTGGAAATAAGCAGTTCTGTTCCCGATTGGCACTGAACGAATGGAGTCTTTAAAATATTAAGGACAAAGCTACCCTGGCAAGCTGTGTATTTACTAACTTTAGTACAACCTGGGGTATTTCCCACACTGGGTGCATCCCTCCACAGATGTGCTTTGTTCTCCGTCTCCCTTTCGGAGGGCTTTTCCAGATGCTGAGTACTGTGACCCTTTGAGCTGTGTGTTCCAGCTTTGGGCTTGTGCTTTTCTTGTTCAGTCTAGTCCTCTTCCTTGAGACACTGCTTCTCTTACCAGTCCTGTGTTTGGGCAAAGCCCACCAACCACCCCATTTTGGAGGATGGCAAGACATTATTCTGGAAAGGGGTCTGGTACAAACATAATGTGATACTAAAACCACTTGGAGGTATCAATGTTCTGTATCTCCGTGGCTGAGCTTGTTGAGAAGTTACTGTTTTGTTTGGATTGCTTTCGGTGATGACATGTGGCATTC